GTGAAAGTCTGCACCCAAAATCCAGGGTGTTTAAATTATCTGTTACACATAAGACAGGAAACTCTGATCATTCATCCTTGTAGTACTGCAAATTAATCCTTAACCTTTTCACTTCCAAGATTTCTTGAGCAATTCTCCCTACTGTCTGCCATAAAATTCTTCTGATGTTGGTTTGGAAAATTTGGTATTGGATCAACAAATAATCCCCTAATTGATATTTTTCTCAATTACATCCATTTTGAAATCTCTGGTGATCCTTACAATTTGATTGGCTCTCATGGGTGCCATTAATTCACAAATTGCACCACATTTTGGTCTTAATAATTGTATCTTTTCCCAGCCAATGAGAGAGCTTTACTAAAACACAAGCAATCAGATTTCAAGGCTTGTTCAAAGTGACTAAATATAAGATAAAATTCTTGAGGAGTTTTGTGCAACAGTTTATACAAAAAATGGGGAACATTATGAGCTCAGTAACTATTGTGAAAATTACTGCAGTTGACAAATACCTGACAGAGAAAGAATACAAATGCTCAATGATTCACAAGAGAGGTTTTTAAAGCTTGAAGCAAATTCTTGAGGAAAAAGCCAGACTATTTTGGCAACAAGGCAAAGGCAAGTGACCAAACTGGTGAGCCATGACTTGAAATAAAGACATTTAAGTGCTACTAATTACCAGTAAATCACATGATTTTCTTTGTGCCATTTGGGATAAATCAGCACTCATTAATTTTTCCAGGACTACAAATTGCACCTGCACTATGGGCTTGTGCAATTTGGTTAGCCTTTGAAAAATTTACTTGAATTGATTTATTCCAAATTGTACTCACAATCATGCATTTACTATACAAATTGCACTCCACTCAGTTCAATTACCATTAATAATTCTCATCACCTGTCTGCTTGATATTGTATTGACACAGTAATGAGAAATTCTGTCTTGGTCACTGGTGCTACTTTAGGGGTTAAAGAAGAAGAGGAGAAGGTTCCTCATTGGGAACTCAAAATGCAGTCCAAATCATAACTTCTCATATTCTTTTCCAAGGCTGAGAAAATGACTCATCTTATGGTTTCTTGACCAAGACTTAATACAGCAGTGGCCATGATCAAGTTCTAAGAGATGGATAGGTTCCCCTTAGGAATCTCAAAATGCTGTTGATGTCACAATTTTTCATATTTTTTCAAGGTTAAGAGACAAAATATCATTTGCATAGTATCTAGAGAAATCTTTTAAAGTTGACCTTTTGTATCAAGCAAACAAAAAGCCTACCACTTTCTCTTCAAGAAGTCCATCTTTGAAAAACAGCAAATAGGGGGTCGTTTGATCCTCACGATATCCCAAGATGCAAAGCATTCCGTTTGCCCCTTCAAAGTCAGTCTCTCCACGGTAGAAGTCCCACTCATCAAAGTTATCGAGAATCCTCTTCACTGCTGGTATAGCTTTTTTCTTGAATGTGGCCACATAGTCTGGCTTGGTCTCGGTAAGTTTTTCCACAAGTTTGGCCACATATGCCTTGATATACTTCTGGTATTTTTTTTTGTCCATGTCTACCCATGCTAATCTGTTTTGGAGGACAATGTCGACCCCACTTGTGGATGCATCGGCAGATTCTTCCTCATAAGATTCGGCAGACTTGTTCCCACCAATCATAGCATCATCAACTTTGGTGCACTCTGTAGTATGCTAAGGAGAGCATAAAAACTTCACCACCATTCAACACATAGAGTAAAAGAAGATGGCAAATTTTCAATACAATGGTTTTATACAGAGAGATTTTATACAGTAACACTTGTGAGTATCATAGTTTGCCTCACTTTGAACTGGTACTCAGTTCAAATGAAGCCTTTCACTAAAAAAAATAAAAACAACCTTTTAATTGGCTTTAGTATAATTGCTCTGGTGATTATAAAGATGCATGCACTCTTACTGGTTGAGGATTGCATCATATCTGGTTGTAATTGCCTTATGCAAAGTGATTACAACAGGAGCATTAAATTTCAAAATGGCAGCCTTGCATTTTTCAACACTCCACAGGATGTGATAATTGTGACAGAGGAAAATACAAGTTTGAAGAGCACAAAAGATGCTAAAAAGTTTGGCGTGACACTTTTCAAAGGAGAGCTATGAAGGTTTTGTTGGTGGAATTAAAATGTGCCAGCTAAATGCTAGTGGAAACTTGCTGCTAATGTCAATTGTCACAATATTATACTAAAACTAATTATTTCTCTCAGGCCCAATGAAGATTGTTGAATAATTTCCCAGACTATTCATCAATATTCACTTTGCCTTTAGCGAATAATTGTTAATTAACCCTTAAACCCATAGAAGTGACAAAAAATCTAACAGCTCCTTACATTATTGTAGTTAAATCAATTCTTGATGTCACAAGAGTAAAAGAAATGATTGCCAACAAAGAAGCTTTTGATTATTAAACATGGTTTGATGATTTTGTAAAAAAAGAAGAAAAAAAAGAAAAAAAAACCAGATCAATTTTACTTACTTTTCCTTCTACTTCAATGAATACACTGTCATCTACTTCTCTCATTTTGCAACTGTCAGTGAACAACTCATCGTCTGTAATAGAAAAGAGGTCATTGACAATGAAGAACTCAAAAATACTGAAACATTCAACACAATTTTAGTTTAAAAAAAATCGAATTTCCAGGAAGTACTAATACAGTTGCATCCTGATAACTCAAACCTTTGAGGTAAATTGAAAAAATTTTCAAGTAATCAGGAGTATGAGTTGTTGGGAGTTAAAACAAAGGACTAGAAATAAGAGAAAAATGGTGTTCACTGATTTTTTTTTTTACTCATACAGTAAACATTTTCATCAAATTTGATTATAGAGAGAAGTTGAGTGAAAATGGAACACTAAATTACTGCAAAAATCACAATGTAATGTAGATGTTTTGAACTGCAGTACACTGGTATACTATTTGTTTTGATTTGCCACATATTGACAGACATGGTTCGACCTGGCTCAAGGTTTCAAGAGTAAAAAAAATGCTTCAGATAAGTGGGAGGTTCAATATCTAGGGTTTGAGTTACCATGAGTAAATCACATTTATAAATGATGAAAATCCAGAGGAAATTAAATTTGGTTTGGGTTTGGCTATGGGCTTTACAAGGCTGAAGAAGGATACGCAAATCTGAAGTTTAGTGATTGAAAATTCAATTTGTAGCTGAGAAGAACAGTTCACTTAGAATTGTTTACAACACTAATAGCGATTACAGCTTGTGAATAAAAATACGATCAACTTCTGATAGATTAAATGCCTGTCAATCCATCAACCATTATGACTGAGGACTGATAAGCATCTTATTTCTCCCAACTGTTTCACCCCTGAATCAAACATTAGGGCTAAAGGAAATTATTGCCACTCCAAAGGCTCTTGATTGCCATACAAATTCTCCTTGAAAGTATCATGGGAAATGTATTGAGAACATTAAGGAAAATTTGCAAGAGCAACCAGGTTTATTATCAACCAAAAAATAAGTTATATAAGAACAAAAAACCATTTTTGCTTAATTGTGTAGAAATTACAACATATTACAAAACTGAGGACTAAGGCCAATCAGTTGTGTCAGTTTACACATAAATCGGCGTCATGCAAAGTTTCCCCTTTAACCCTGTAACTCCTGGATCAAATTTGTAATTCTCCTAACTATCAACCATATGATTTTTGTAATGTTAATTCAGAGAACTTAGTATAGGATCAACTAGTTATCCCCAAATTGATATTTTTCTTTATTCTCATCACTTATCTGGTTGATACTGTATTGATATTGTAAGGAGAAATTCTGTCTTGGTCACTCATGGGAGTTAAAGGGTTAATTTGACAAAATTCCCATTAAAGTAGGTATACAGTTTAAGAATTGTCTGATTCAGCAGGAGAAATCAATTTGATAAAAGGATTTACTAAAATAAGTTGTCTGGTTGTTTGGTCTGTTTGTTCACATCAATGGCACACAATGTCTTGTGCTAGAAAATAGAAATCACAATGAAAGTGCTTATAACACAAAAATTTTTTTTTGCAAAAATATTTAGCTTACCATGTGTACAAACGAATTCAGATAAAAGGAAAATTTCAAAAAAAATTAAAACTCGGATTTTTGGGGCCCTAAAGTGCTCTTATTTTGTCTAAATAGTGTTACGAAGTAGTTGGTGATAACGCAGAAAACTGTGGAAACTCTCAGTTGAGACTTAGAAATCTCTCATAATTTTGTATCAGTCAGCATTGACATGGTCAAGGAGAACTCACTAAGCGGTAAGGTCCATCATTTCTAATTTTAAATACACCTATGGACCAGAAAATACTAAAAAAAATCGTGTCATGGGCACTTTACGTAAGCCTGTCTGTCTTTATAACTTTGATGTTAACTTTAATCTGGAGCATTTATTATCTCTCTACTCTTGAAATCCCCACGTATACGAAGAACAACGACAAAATACGATTAAAAGTTTTCTTTATCGAATGTTCGTGACATTTGAGGCAGGATAAGTAACTTTAACTGCTCTGTGTAGTTTGTGAAATCGTCAGCCATTTTGTTTCTGGTTTTTTTTCTTCTATGGAATGATTGTACTGTGATTGATAAAAACTCGACTAGGTATGGCCATTAACCTTCATGATACAATTAAAGAGCCTATCCAACAAAATTATTCTTGTTTCACAGACTAAAGTCGTGTGCCAAAAGATCAGAAATACCGATGAAAGTCAACTAAACATACACTGTTTCTCGGGACAATTCAGGGAAAATAGAACTTTCAAGACAGTCACACGTGGTTGAGACCTAGTACTTACTGGATAGAAGGTCCCTGTAAACAATCATGATGTCGATGGGTCAGGATTTCGCGTCACAGTATAGTGCTGTAAAACCCGACTACAACAGATCGAGCCGAAAAAAGGAAGAATTTTGTGATCTTGCGCAATATATTAACAGCAGTCCCAGTGATCACGGTCAGTATGAGAGGCGAGAAGGACTCGGTAATAACGACAAAATCAAAATGGCGCGCGAATTAAAGCAAATCAGAATTAACGAAATTTAAAGCAGAATGGAGTGATGTAAAAAAAATTAGTCAAATCAGGTATGGAAAATATTTTTTTTAAAGTAAAAACTGCAGCTGATTGTTTATTAAGAGCCATCTGGATCTTTAGGATTTGGCCTTTCAACTACCTGTTGGATTGGTTTTGTTTGCAAAACTTTGTTATAGATGGTTGTGGTGTCGATCTATTGTTTAGAATGTATGATCACGTCATTTGCTGAGGAAGTTTTTCTCTAAAAAAGGGAGAACATGAAGAAGCAAGGGAATGAAGGAAGGAAAGTGTTGAAACCAAGTCCCAATGAAGAGGTTTGTTAAAATTAGCGTTAGTCTAGTAACGATCAAACACTTCTGTATATATATAGCTTCCATATGCGTCTGGAAATTTGATTGTAGACAGAATGTTTAATATCAAATAAACGGAATTTAAATTTTCAGGCGAATATACTCCAAGATGAGAAAGTCAAAAGGAAGAAGCAACGCTTAAAACAGGTACGTGAGTAAGATTGATACTAGTATCAATTTTAGTTGACTTTTTTTTCGTGTAAGTATTCTTTGCTTGACGTTTCACCCTTTAACCTTTAAGAGTGATTCGCATCTAATTTCTCCCAACGATATCACCCCTGAGACACACGTTCAGGTCATGAGAATAAAGAAAATGATCACTTACTAAAGAAGTTCTTGATTGTTAAACAAATTTCCTCGTCAGCAACTCAGGAATCGTGTAGAGAACAGTATGGAGAATATGCATACTGATGTTAGGGAGTAAAGGGTTAAAACTTTGAGAAAATTTTTTGAATTTGATCAATTAAGAGGACACTACCCCATTAAAGCTTTAACTCCCAAGATCTGATTGTTAATTCTCCTCTCTAGCTGCAGTGTTTTCCTCATAAATGAGGAGAATTTAGTTTTTGATCAAGATAACTTCTATCTGATAAGTTTGAGTATTCTTACTACCTGTTTACCAGATAGCATAAGGATATTAGAGAGAAGTTATATTTTAATCTCTTCAGTGAGTTAAAAGTTTAAGTCAACCACTTCTCCCTACTTATGAGTGTCAATAACTAATTACAGTTTACAAATATATAATCACAGTTGTAAATATTTGTTTGGGTTAAAAATTAAATTTGACATGACTAAATGACTTGATATAACTTCTCAAAAAAAGGTGCAAGATCAGTAATTCCTTAATTGCAGATTTTAAAAAATTATTTCATATACTAAAAGTGACTTCATCAGGGTTGAAACATGACAATCTGTAAAATATATTGCTTTTGAGTAGGGTAGGGTCAGGGATTGGGGATCCACAGTAGTAACATACCCTTAAATGCTGTCTCCCTTCCCCCTCCCTCTCCCCCATAGACACTTAATTGATCTTACTTACTGAATGCCTAGATCAGAGAACAAGAGAAAGCATTTTCTCGTAAAGTGCTAAAGGATGCCAGAAAAAGAAAAAATATTGGGCTGAAAGAACTGACCTCTCATCTGAAGGTATGTTACAGAACTTGTGATAGCATTACACAGAACCTTTTCTTTATAAAATGATGAGCTTGTTACGTTGTTATTGACAACTATGTCATATTGAGTTTAACCATGTAACTCTCAAGAATGATGGGCTTGTAGTTTCTCCTTACAGTATCACCCTTGAGTCAAATGCATAGGACAGGAGAATAAAGGAAACAATCACCAATTTAAGAACCTTCTGATTGTCAGACAAATTCTCCCTCTCTATACCATAGGAAAAGTTAACAGAACAGATTGGAGAATTTAAATACTAATCTCAGGGTGTAAAGAGCTGAGCCTTTTTTTGGTATTTTAGCAATGTAATTTTACAAATAAGGCAATTGAACTGCTCAAAATCCTTCAATAATTTTTTCACCATTTACTGAATTAAGGACCAATGGGAGATTGCACAAGAAAAGCGGAAATTAGATTTGGAGAAAAAATATCAAGAAAATGTGGCAGAGTTTGGATTGGGACACAGGACTGCTTCTGAGGTACTTAATCAAAAACAATTCGATTTGCAGATTGGTTTTGTTTCACATCACTGATAATGGTGATGTTTTCAATGAAGAAATTGAGATGATTTAATTTGCTTCTTTTTTTTAAGGATCAAACAAACTATTCTAAACCAGATATGACTGTGGAGGAAAGACAGAGGTACTCTTAGTGTTTGTTGTCAGAAGCTCATTGATAAGTTTTTTTTAGGGAGACTACATGGCTAGGAAATAGCATAAAGGACTCTGAATGAAGGGGTCTGGTTTCAAGGCCTCACTGGGTCTTTGTATTGAATTCATCAGCAAATGCTTCACTCTCACCATGTCTCTCCATGTCTCTCCAACATGAGAGAGAGAGAGGGCTGTTGTGGCCCTCTTGACTTAGCCTGCAGAGCAGGTGTAATTTAGGCTAGCGAGTGCTAAGTAATTTCGTAACAAATATTATGGCGGCCATCTTTGATTTTAATGGCAGCGGAAGGCTGAGGAGAGGAAAAATTTATACCAAGGGGGCAGTCGACAGTCAAAAATAAGGAGAGGGGTGGGGGTAGGGGAGTGAAGATTACTTTTCTCCTCTCCCCCTACCCCCACCGTCCACTCTAACTGCAAATCAAAAATAACCAGTCGAACAAACGATTGCGAGCTTTTCGCGTTAGCTCGCACTAACAAGACGCCTGCACTGCAGGCTACTCTTGACTTCTTACACATAACTCTTATACTCTGACCCATGAGTGACTAAGAGAGATTTTCTCCTCACAATATCATTACAGTATTAAGCAGATAAGTGAGAGAATATAGAAATATATCAGTTAGGAGGTTATTAGTCAACTGAATATCAAATTCTCAGCACTAATGTTAAAGGAATTGTATGGCTCACTATAAAGAGAATTACTGGTGGGATCTTTGGGTCACTTTCTTTATAAGGGAGAATTACATTCATGAATTCAATGTACTGAATTCTCTAAACAAAGAACGTTTCTTCTAAATAATGTATCACTGAATGTCTATTCTTTTTATCAGAGGTCCTAACTTCACCCAGCCTGATCTAATTTTATTTTGCAATAATTTTATATTTCAGGGCATCAGAGAGATACAAGAAAGCACTAGAACAGGTGAAGGGTGTAATAGACCAGAGTGGGGCATCTCTTCTTTGGTGGTTTTAAATAACTCTTAACAGTAATTGCTTTAAATATTTTTCGAGACTTGTTTAAAATCAGTAAGGAGGAGGGTAATGGGTGGATAAAGACCACAGATTTGACAAACAGGCTCCGGTTGTTCAAGGAGTAGATAACACTATTTACTGGATAAATCTCTATCTGGTGGATAATGCAGTACGTTTTGCTATCTCTTATCTGCTGGATAGCGATTTATCCATTGCATAGAGTTGTCCACCCTTTATACAACTGGTCTCGGGATCACGGATTTTCATGCCCTTTATAAAGGGGGGGTCGTGAATAAAATAACAGAAAATGAGGGAGGGGTACTTGTCTTTAAGCCACTGTGATCAACAGGAGATTTTTTATATGTTACATTAGCCCTTTAAATCCCATGAGTGACCAATTCAAAATTTCTCCCCATAATATCAATACAATATCAAGCAAACATGTGATGGGAATAAAAAAATGTATCAGTCATGGGATTATTAGTTGATCCAAGACCAAATTCTCTGAAATAATAGGTGATCAGTGGAAAAGTATGGCAGACATTAAAGAGATGTACTAAACAATGAGCTGTTGGAAGTGAAACAGTTAAAATAAGAGCCAATAATTTTGAATCTTTCATCCTCTCCTTTCCAATGAGAAGATCACTTGTATATTCTTTGCATTTTCCAGATCAATTTTTTAACTTATTTTTCTAAGTAAATGAAATGTTAATCATCTGACTGGTTTTCATGAATTGAAAAGCTAAAAATATAATCAGTAAAAGTCTTTTGTGATAGTGTAGTCTGATCATCTGGGTGAGTGTAGTCCTGAGAAGGACTGTTGTCATAGTGGTGACTGACATTGTGACCACCTGAGCGGAAGTCATCATCAGAGTGATGATGATGACTCTGACGACTCCTCCTCAGGTTGTCAAAAGGTCAGTCACCACTACTGACAACAGTCCTTCCGAGGACTACTCTCACCTGGAAAATCAGGCCATAATATCTCATGTGATGTCACGGTGAAGGTCATTATGTACTTTCATTGGTCCTTAGTGGAAATTAACGACATGTCA